CTCCTCCTCCCCCCCCGATCCTCCTCATCGCCCTCCCCTTCAGCCTAGTCCTTGTGCTCCTCCAGCATTGTCATTACCACCGTCCTCATCGTTGCCAGCCTCCGCCACCCCTTCCTCGTCTGCCCTTTCCTACCAGGTCCCTTCCCCTTCCTTCTCCCCCTCCGCCTGCTCCTCCTGCTCCTCCTTCTACTCACCATCATCATCACCATCCTTCTCCTCCTCCCCTCTCCTTCTTCTCCTCCCCCTCGTCCTGCCACTGCTCCACATCCGCATCCGCCTCTTCATCTTCCTCAACATAGTCCCTCTCCCCCTCATCATCCCCCCCCCTCCTCTCATGCTCCGCCCCCCCCCACCCCTCCGTCTCCTACACCCCTCCCCTTTACCATCCTCATCCTTATCTTCCTCATCGCCCTCTCCCAACTACCCTTGCTTCACCTCCCCTCCGTTCTCTCCTCCTTCTCGGGGCCCTCGGGGCCCTCCTTGGCGACGGTATATAATGCCCCATAGGCACCTCTCGGGATATCCATGGTGGCCGTCGGTTTGCTGGCGGCAAGAGCGGCCGCCAACTGGCCAGCGCCCGTCGCTCAAACAATCGCCGTGAGAGGGCCCAAGTGTGCACCAGTATGAACGCAAATGGTCAGGCCCCAGGATGCACGCAGGATTGTTCACAGCCTGGATGAGAGCCCCGGCGGGGCTGGCGGACCGACCTGGCTCTGTGAAGGGCCGACCCAGCGGCTTGTTGGGCGCGTGGCTCGACTGCGAGTGCGCCGCCAAGGACGAGCACCAGCACGTTTTTTTCCTCGCGGGCATCAGCCGCGAGAGACGGTGCGCAGCCAGGGATGCCATCAGAAGGCGGCCACATGGCGTTTTGTTGCTCAGCAAAGAGCGCCCTTGCCGCCCTGGCGAGGCCGAGGAGCCTGCGTGCGAGAGCCACCAAGTTTAGCATCAGAGAAAACAACACCTCGGGATCCAACCTTTTTTATGGCCCTGAAGGTCTCGTCGCGCCGTGTCAGTTGGGGTTTGGTCGATATCTGACGAGCGTGGTCTACCCCCGCGGTGTTAGGGGTTGGGTCCTTCGTTTGGGTCAGGGGTGAGTTGTTGGGTCGTCGATTGTCTGGCGTCGGAGTAGACAGGAGTGTGGAGGCAGCCGACGCGCCCTGTGTCAGGTTGTTTTTTTTCTCCACAGAAATGACACCGAGCGTGTCAATTTGGAGGCGTCGTCCCCTGGAACGACACGCGGGGTCTCACGATCCTCGATACATTCGCCATTTCGGATTCATAAATCCTCGAAATTGACACGCGGCGTGTCGCGCCGCCGTCGTCTGTGGACCCCAGAGACACGCAGGGGGTCTCCCTCGGGGGGGTCTGGGGCTCCCGAGACAAGCGCGCCGTCGCCCGCGGCGTCGGCGCTTGCTAACCAGGTCCTTGGAGGCACCGCGGGGGGGCGAGAGGGCGCTGGGGGTGGAGGAGGGGCCGCGGGCCGGAGGGGCAGGGAGGGGGGGCGGGGAGCTGGGGGAGTGGATGGCGCGAGGATGCGGAGGAGGTCGGGGGCGGGGGTAGGAGTGAGGGGAGGCCGAGGGCGATAGGCGACGAGGGCGAAGGTCACCCCCTGGGACCGATGCCCCACAGGCACTCCTGGGTTCTGGCTCTGGGCCTCTTGCTGTTTAGCGAAGGTTTCCCTTAGGAAATTCCGAAACCCTGGCCCCGTGGAGGGCCCTGCCATTCTGGCGCATTCTCGGCCATGGTCCGAAGCTTTCGTCGACCCCCCATCCCTGCTCGGGGGTGGGGTGTGGGGGTGAGGGGGGCTTGGAACTTGGAACCCTTCGGCGTAGCAGCATGCCCTGCCCCAAAGTTGTTTCCCTCCCTGAGCCGCCTCGGAAGTGTTCATGCCGCCTCCCCCTCGGATTGGACCCCGCTGGAAGCCCGAACCGCATTTGTGACCCTGAGCTGCGGGTAGATTGAACGCGAATCGTCCGTCGCGTGTGAGGCTCCAGGGGCCCGAAGTTGCTTTTTCTCAGTGGCATCTGTGCCATTCCAAGCGCGCCCGCCCGATCTCGTTGCCGACGATGGGCGGCGGCGGTCGTGGCCGCGGCGGCGGTCGCGGGATCGCTCGGAAGGGCAACGGCGGCAACGGCGGCAGCCCCAGGAAGTCCGCTGCGCCAGCCCCCAGCCCCAGGAAGCAGCAACGTTCGCAGGCGCCCGCGGTTGCCGCTGCTCCTGGCTGCTGTGCGTGGAGCAGGGCGAAGTTCACCGAGGACCAACGGCCCCATTGTCTGCTTGCATAGCTTGTTTTCTCTTTCGTGCAGTCGTCCTACGCCTGCGCGAAGCATACCCCACCGCTCCTAACGTGCACTTGGTGTTGGTTCTTCGTTTTGCCTGGGGAGGGGTCCGCCGCTGTTCTTTGCCCATCTGAACATCGCCACCCCTTCTTCCCGTCATCGGGGCCCGCGTCTCTGCCACCTACACGCATGCATCGACATGAGTATCGTCATTGCCACCATTGCCCTGACAATCGCCACCACCACAACCGATAGGTTAAAATGCATACCACTTGCCTCACATTCACACATATTAGAAACAAGTTCATGCACGCACGCACCACGCACAACTCGCACGCCTCACTGCACCGTTTGGGTGGTCAGTGTGTCGCCCCATGGCGTTCATTTGCTCGACGACGAAACCAGTCCTCTCTGGTTGGGCCCTTCGCATGGACTCGGGTGCACCCTATGTGTTTGCTCCTCGTCCTCCCCCTGGCTCGCTCCACCCACCATATGTAACCTTGCCCCGCCACCGCCCCCGTCGTGAAGAGGGGGTAGGGGTGACGACGTTGCCGTGGGATGTTGATGCGTTTACCCTTTTGGCCCTGTGGATGGCGACGCCCTCTGCACAGCTATGATACATGCTGGGAAGATCTCAGAGCACACGGTGCGCAAGTGGCCAACGCACTAATAACCTCTCGAGGGGTGCTTGCATCGGGCTCTGCGCCGACAGCCGCCCGCCCCGTTCGGACGCGGCGAAACGAGGAGGAGCAGGGGGGATGTGCGTGATGCAAGTGGTGGGAAGGGTATGTGGTCGATGAGCGGAGGAGGACGGGTAGAGCATTTCGGGCAAGGCAAGCGACCTACCTAACTCAAATTGAGACGAGCTGCCGAAACCACTACCCACGACAGCTTCAATCGGAGTCGCCCAAGAAAACATCGCCACCTGGCGGGACTGAGTCCGAGCCCTCATCGTCGAAACCACCTGGGCGATGCTGGAAGTACGCGAACGGGTTCACACGGCCCGTGCGGGGCCAGTAAGTGGGGCCTTGCTCCCAGGGCGCGGTTGACCAAGGGGTATCTTGGAGCTTGAGCGGGAGCACGACCTCAGACACGCCCTCATTGACATTGGTGTCGTCGCGAACGGCGTCGGGCATCTTCAAGGGGACAGTGGAGAAGTGGTTCGGCTCGCTGTCGGGCAACGGGATGGCACGGTTGAACGTCGGCTTCACGCGGTGGGTGATACCGACGTCGATCGTATCGATCTCGGTGTCGACAAAATAGTGCTCGGGATAGTATGTGGTGCTGGAATCGCTGTCGGACTTAACCGAGTCGGCGTCGTCCTCCCCGTCGTCTGCCAGGGCGTCGCCGCTCACTGGCGCGGCCGCCTCGATCCCGACCGTCGGGTATAGCCCAATGTGTTTCTCGAGCTCGCACAGGCGATCCTTCAGGTTGCGGTGTTCCTGCTCGACGGCATCCAAACGATTCTGGGTCTCTTCCAGGATGTCGAGGGTCTCGAGGGAGCGGGGAAGGGCTGAGGGTTTCGAGAGGGCGATCGCAGCAAAACCTAGCAGCAATGGGAGGAGCGGCGGAGGAGGAGGAGGAAGCAGAGGAGGAGGGGATGAGGAAGGGGGGAGGCTTGAGACGGAGCACATACCAAAACATGTTTGCAACTACGGCCACCGCTGGAAACAGTCGTTGGAGGAAAACCGAAGCCAGGGCGACGAATTGACACTGACTTTCTGCTGGCCTCTCAAGCGGCCTAAATGGAGGGGGGGGTGGAAGGATGCCTCGGCCAGAACTTCTTCGATGATCTTCTGCTTCTTTGGCGCCATGTCGCCGTCGGCGGATGTCTCTGAACGGGCACGGGTGCGAGTGTCCGCGGGCTCGGGATTCGCCATCGTCCGATCGGCTAGGGCTGGCGCTGCGAGGCTGGCATGGTTGCGCAGAGTGGGCGACGTGGAGCCCTCGGTCGGAAATTAAAACCGAACCGACGCTGGCGTCGGAATTTGAATAAGCTAGAGCCAAAACGGTCATTCAGATGACGGGCAAGGGGGCCCTCAAGGGCCGCAGATGCGATCCCCCCCCCCCGACACTACCATCCTATTTGGTGCAATGCCCCCCCCCCCCCCCCCCCCCTTGGACAACGCCTGGGAAACTGAAGCGGCATGGGCCCGTTGAGACTCCGAGCGCCTCTGGGGGCCCCAGCGCGAAGGGTGCGCGAGACAGAGGCAGCTAGGATGAGGGGGAGGTGAAGGCATGCCGAGGCCATTAGATGCGAACGGTGAATACATTGCCAGCGCAACGCAATTTCAGCCACAAGCCGCCTTTCGCATGCAACGCCACCAATGTTTTCTTGATGCAGTGGGCTCGGGGCCAACTCGTATGCCATGCGCGTTGTGTTTGCACATTGGTTGCAACATCTTCGGGGGTCTGTTTGGAGGCGTCAAGATCACGGTGCCCCTTCTCCATGTTCACCCCCCCATTTCACCCTCCACGAGGTTCTACCCCCTGTCCTCTTCACTTCCTCGCACCTCCTTGTCCAGTCTCGTACCGCCTTCCCTTCGCCCACCCTCCTCCTCCTCCTCATCCTCCCCCTCGTGCCGATGGGCCCCCACCTTGCGCCCGCGCGTCGCGTCTGTGCGGGAGCTATTCGGGTTGAGGCCCAGGGCGCGTTTCCAAGTGGCGTGTTTTTTCGCCTCGGGCCTCCCAGGGATCCGTGAGCGGCATCGGTGCGGACCGATGCCGGCCTGCAGTTCTGCCGTGCCTTGCGGGGTCCATGGGGTCGTCTCAGCAGCTGGCGTCCAAAAATGTGTCCGCGGGCGTTCTGTTTCGCACGTCGCGTCGGTGGCCCTTCAACCCATCACTGTCGTTCGGGCCTCCGAAGGGGCCGCTTTCAGGAGGGCCTCCGTCAGCGGTTCCGCAGGGCGGCGGGGTGAGAGTTAGGGCGGGCAGCGTTTCATTTCATTCCCACCCCTCCTGCCCCCGAGGAGGACCCGCAGGTGACCATCGCGGGTCGCGAGGGCCGCCCCGTGCCTGTCAAGCGCAGCATCGCCGAGCTGTACATACGCGTCTTCTCGCACATGCCGATCGACGAGGTCATCGAGCGCAAGAGCAGCAAGGCTGCCGAGAACGCCTACTTCAAGGCGCAGGTGCATGCGGCGGAGGTGTCTTGGGCGAAGCGTGATCAGCGCACCGCGCTCGACACGGTCGGCTTGATGGGCGGCGGCGACAACGTCTCGGTGGGTTACGGCAGCGTCGTCAAGGTGAAGCGCAAGGTTGCCATCTTGAACAAGGCGGATTTCAAGTACTTCCACGGCGGCAACGAGCCCTTGCAGCGCGTGGTGCGCCACCATCCGAGCATGTCGATCCCAGTTCGAGGCGGCGTCGCGGGGGAGACGGAAAAGGTGTGGCTGTTCGAGAACTTCCCTGGGGCGCGCCGCACCATGAGCTTCTGCACCTTCCACAGGGTCACCGCTGGGTCGACGCCCGTGCGCCCAGACGACGTCTTCTACGACGGCCAGGTCGTCGATTTTTACCAGAAGGGCCTCAGCACGCAGAAGTCTGAGTTCGACGCAGATCTTGTGGCGAAGGACCTGCCGTGCATCAACGCCACGAGGGGGAAGTTCAACTTGGTGCCGCTCAAGCTTCACGAAGCGGGCGAGGCGGCCGACGAGGTGCCGCAGGGTGCTGCACCTGGATCGCCTAGCGCGGCGGCAGCGGGCAGCGCCGTCGGGGAGGATGAGGCCGATGCAGATGGCGCGGCCAGCGGCTTGGGCGACGCCACTCTCAGCGGCGTGATCCAGTTGCCCTCGGCTTTCGGCAGATCGCGCTCGGATGTCGGCATGCCCCCTACCAAGAGGAGCAGGCGTGGGAAGAAGAGCCCCGCCGCGGATCTTGATGCCTCGCCCTTCGCAGCTGACGACGACATCGGCCTCGACGACTCAGCGTCGCAGGTGGCTGCATCTACTATGGTTGGCGCGGCCAGTGGTATCGGAGGAACTGTTGACAGCAAGCAGGGCCCCTACAAGCACATCGAGAATCTAGATTGCGAGATGGAGATGGTGAAAGGGAACTTGGGCAATGCGCTGCACCACGCCAACAAATGGGTACGCGAGCACGGCAGTGAGCTGAAGTGGTCCCAGGGAACCGCTGACCTCAAGGCCCACATCAAGAAGTTCGAGATGGCTCACATTGTATCCGTTGCCCACCAGGATACCTACCAGGACGATGAAGTTGCCAAAGCCGTTCTTTTTCTGGTTCAGACCGACGGGGCTTTACCCGACGCCGTGAACTTGAAGCTGTGCATGCGAGAGTCCAGGCGGAAGATGAAGCAGATCAGCGACGGCGATGCATTTGTAGCGTTCTTTGCTTCGACGTTGCCATGCAATCCTAGCCACACCGATTCGTTTATCAGTTCTTCGCCTACACTGAGCGCTCTGAAGCTGGAGCCAGAGATCAAGATCGGCACGTTCTTGGGTTGCTTTATCAACGACTGGCTTTGTCCCTGCATTGAGGCAGGCAAGAGCGCTCAGGATCTGCTCACCACGGCCGTCGACATCATTGGTAACAAGGTCTCGGAGATCGTCGCCTCCAGCGACATGCCCGAAGAGTATTTGGGGTTCTTTTGCTCGCTTTCGGAAATCACCCTCGCGCTGAGCACGCTCCTCCACGGTCTCGACGCGGCCACCCTGGACGATTTCGCCTCGAGGGTCAAGCACCACGTCACCATCTTGTCCGACGCGAAGGCTAAAGACCCCATGGCGCAGCGCATCGCCCGCTCGATCCTTGCGACGCCGATCTACGTGGACCTGCTTGCCGACTTGAGGAAGACCTCGCAAGGCTTAACTACCATGAACCAGGAAGTCGAGCATGCGAATGTGGTTTTGACGACCAAGATGCCAGATATTTGTGGTGAGAGCGAGGAGTGGCGATTAACTTGCCATACCAGCGCTGTTCTTGCGAAGAACTTGTTGGGTTTGCTGGATGTGCTCGGTCGCACCTACGGGAACGAGTTGAAGGAGAGTGCTTTGGACAGGGCGCGCGTTATAGTCATGGGCATGCGTGAGCGCGCTGCCAAAGGGCTTGTATCTTTGACGGAGTCGAAGTCTTTCGCTGAGATGATCTCCTACCAGAGGATCGCGTGGCACAGCGAGGCTTTCTTGGTCGAGGCGGAGAGCGACGCGGCCGACATGCTCGTCAAGATCACCGCGGACGGGGAGGTGGCAAACTTCAAGGTCGAGCTGACGAAGGCTGCCAATGCAGAGATCCTGTCGCAGGACATCCTCGAGTCCGTGAAGTCCATATTCGAGAAGGTCAGGGGCACGAATGTCAACGACGACCACGTGAATTCTGAATTGATGAAGGTCGTGCGCAGATGCATCCAGATCGCGCTGGACACCAACTCGGATTGTCAGGAGCTGAAGTCGGCGTCGCTGAACGCGCTTGCAGGTGCCTTGGAGCTCCTGCCGCCGTGCACCTACCACCGCGGTGTTCCCGGCGCCCTGAGGCAGCGGCATGAGCTGGTGGCCTTGGAGACAGCATTCAGGAAGAAGCATTGCACGGAAGGTGGTGTGAACTTGGATGCAGCGCACACGGACGATACGTTGGTTACCATGAAGGGTTCGACCAAAGTGCTGTTCGAGAAGGTCTCGATCATGAACTTTCCTGACGACGAGGAGACTGCTCACATCAAAAAGATCGCGACGGATTGCGGCAACGGGGTGCAGGAGCTGATCCACCAGGTCGCGTCCCACGGGCTTGAGGTGAAGTTGCTCGCGTACCAGGACAAGACGCTGAAGGGGCTCAGGAGCGAGCAGGGTGGCCTCAAGAACGGTGCCAACTGGATCGACGGGCTGCCGAATGGCATGGACGAGAAGTGGGACAAGACCCGCGCGGTCGGCAAGGCCACCTTGCTGGCGGACGGCATCGCCGTCGGCCTCCGCAAGAAGGTCGACGCCGCCTTGCAGGACCGCCTTGGGTTTCCACGCACTCGTTGTTCTGGGGAAGGGTGGGTCGGAGGTGGTTGGGCGTGCGAGGGGCCGATGGTGGGAGGAGGGGATGGGGTCGCACGGCCCCGCCCCCGCCTCACCATCGGCTACCGCGCTCCCAGGCACCCCCATATGCACTTGGTGCCGCTCCTCCGACGCGCCCTCGTTGCCCCATCGGCCCCCCTTCCAGTTTCGGCTCGTTCTTGCGATCCCCCTGCCTCGCAGGAGGAAGCCGCCATTCGCAAGTGGGCGAAGACGTTCGAGCTTCCGATCGACGAGAACATCTTCCAGTGTGGCTCGGGCGCGATGGGCAGGTGCATCAAAGCGTGGGGTGCGTCGCTCATGATCAAGGCCATCGCCGATGGCGTTGACAAGGTGAGTTTGAGGAAGGCCGCGATGGCGGTGCAGACGGAGCTCGGCAAGCGCCAGCTGACGCTGGAGTCCTTGCAGCCGAGCTCGCTGGCCAAGAAGGCCGTGGATGCGATGCACTTCAAGTGAGGCATCAGCTTCGAGGCTGCTGGGCGCCTCGCGCCTGGCCCGACCAGGGCGGGGACTTGCAGAGGAGGGCGAGGAGGAGGGGAAGGGGGAGGAGAAGGGAGGAGGAGGAGGGAAGGGGGGAAGCAGGAGGAGGAGGAGAAGGAGGAGGAGGGAGGAAGGAGGAGAGTGAGTGAGGAGGGGGCGGAGGAGGAAGAGGAGGGGGAGGAGGAGGAGAAGGAAGACATCTTTCGTGGCGAATACTTCGTTTTTTGGGCCTCGAGGGCCTTCGAGGGCCCTGTCCGACGCCACTGGGCGCCGACGGCCCCAGTTGCAGGCCGCTGGCCGCGTGGCGGCAGAGGCCGCATGGCGGATCTGGCACCGCAATGGCAGATCCTGGCAGGGCGGCAGAGGCCTCCACCTCCTCATCCTTCTCCTCCTCCTTCTCTTTGTCCAGCCTCGATGTCGTCAGCTCGTTTGCGTTGCTCCTCCCCGCCCGTCTCCTTCTATATTACTCTGCCCTGCCTCCCCGCCCCATTCACCCTAGGTCCCCCACTGCCGCCTCCGCCCTCGCCCCCCCCATATCCCTCCCCACCTGCCTCGAAAAGTGCACTCGAAACAACCCTGAAAGCTCGATCCCCCTTTGCCGTGTTGTCAAGCTGCCACGCGTCAAAGGGATGTCAACGGGGTGGGTCGGCGGCGTCCGACGCTAGTCCAGTTCAGGCCGAATGTTATTTCATTGGTTCCCGAATGCATCTCCGAGCTCGCGCGGGGTCTTCGGGCCTTCAGAATTTGGGGTTTGATATCCCCCCCCCTCTTCCGCCCCGCCCGCTCCCTTTCCAGCTCCGTCCCGCCCTGGGCGCGGCCCCTCGGCCAACCACCTGCGTTTTCGAGGGTGGCCGCCTTCTCCCGCTGCACCAGGGCTCGGCTGTGGGAGAGAAACATTCGGGCTTGATGTCAACGCTCGGTCTTGCGTTCGTGGTTTGGGGGGGGTCTTCCAGGCCATTCGCGTTTTTCAAAACTCCAATTGGCCCCCTCCTGAAACGGCCTTCGGGCCTTCCTGGGACCCCCGTGTGTTTCTCTCGGTCGCAGCGAAGAAGGACGTGGGTGGGGGGCTAGCAGATGGAGACGAAGGGGGAGAGGATCATATATGATTTTTCGGCTCAACGTAACGACCGTCGCTATCTGATGGTGGCTTCTACGTTTTTTCTGGACAGGAGGTGCGCCCGATATGGGTGCGGTACGATTTTTAGGAATTGCTGATGTCGGTTTCGGTTGTTGCCGCCGTGGTTTCGACATGGGCCAACACCATGTTAAACTGTTTCGGGGACGCGTGTCGGGATTTGGTTTCGACTGTTTGCGTGTCTCTCGGGGCTTCCCTTTTAAGTTTTGTTCCTGGCCCAGTCCCAGGGGGCGCCGCGGAGTATAATTCCGAGCCGACGAGTAGCCTCGAAAATCAAGGGTAGGAGACTGCTCCTGCCGCTCGTCACGCCCGATTCCATCCTCAAATGCGTTGGATTTGCAGGTCTGGACGAGACGAGCGCTGGAGGCAACCCAGCCTGCCTGACAGCAACAAATGTTCTAGACTCCGACGTGATGTCCCGACCGAACCTCAACACCAGGTGTTCCGAAGGGGTTCTCAGACTGAGGAATTCAAGACCACCCCTCCTCTCAGAGTCAGCCTGCGCGAATCTGCCAACAGTTGCATCAATCTCGTGACACACACACACACGCACACACGCACACACGCACACACGCACACACGCACACACGCACACACGCACACACGCACACACGCGCACACGCGCACACGCGCACACGCGCACACGCGTGCACGCGCACGCGCACGCGCACGCGCGCGCACACGCACACGCACACGCACACGCACACGCACAC